CAGTCATGTGATCCATCATGGGAACCACCACTCACAACTGGAGTCCAGCCAAGTTGACACATCTTCAACTATCACACACTGACAGCATTGTACTTCAGGATAGATCTTGAAACATTTTTTTGATGATGAATGCAACGCCATTCCTCTTCAATTTGTCATTCCAGGCATAATAGACTATATGATTATCCGATTCAAAATACCAGTCCATTTCAGCTCACTAATGTCTAGGATATCAATCATTATGCATTTCATTTCATTTTTGACAATTTCCAGTTTTCCTGGATTCATACTTTGTACATTCCATGTTCTGATTGTTAATGAATGTCTGCAACTGTTTCTTCTAATTTTGAGTCGTAACATACCAGTAAATGAGGGTCCCCAAAGCTTTGCTCCATCCACGTCATTAAGATCATCTCTACTTTGAGGAGGCGGCTCTTTCCCATTCGTGGTTTGGGTGCCTCCCAATCTGAAGAGCTTATCTTCCAGCACTGTATCACATAATGTTCTGTTGCTATTACAGGGTTTTCAGTGGCCAGTTGTTTCAGAAGTGAACCTGGCCACCTCTTCCTTCCTAGTCTGTCTTAGTCTGGAAGCTGTGCTGAAACCCGTCCACCCTGGGTGACCCTGCTGAGAATTGAAATACCAGTGGTATAGCTTCCAGCAGCACAGCCATTCACAAGGCCCCACAGTATGACACACTGGCAGACAAGTGGTGGCGTCTTGCGTTACTGTGCTAAATTTGTCACAACTGATGAAATAATATTAACAAACCAAAACCTAACTCACTGCCGTTGAGTCGGATCTGACTCACAGCGACCCCTCCTTGGGTTCTCAAGGCAATATCACTATGGAAGTACATTGCCCAATCTGCCTAGCGTTATTATTAACTAATGTCCATGGTTTACATTAGGATTCATAGTTTGTATTGTACAGTCCTGTGTTTGTTTTAATTAAAAGAAGATGATTTTATTGTGATTTTGGTGAAAGTTTTCATAGCAAGTTAGGTTCCTGTTTGACAGTTTCCACATAAATTAATCCATGACATCAGTTACATTTCCCATGTTGTTACATATGTATATTTTAATTTATTTACATGCTGAAAGGATAATTTCATAGCTAGTTGTTCTGAGCTGAAATACGTTTTTTATTATTTAAGTGATATTTATGAAACCTTTATTTGTTCACATCTTGGAGCCATGTGGTGATCACTGAAATGAGAAGACATGGATTCAGGCTCTCTGTTTCGGGCTTTGAAATGTAGAGGAAGTCACTCAGTGTCTGTTTCATTTGTTTACTGCTGTGTTTTAA